CAGGCCATGTCTGTTTTACCTGATGTTGATTTGCATGCAGGAAACTGGACAAGAAAGTGAGAAGCAGCACGTGACCCGGCGTCCTTCAGCTCCCAGGCCTGGCTCAGCTTTCCTTTGTGCTGTCTTTACTATAATTGTGATCAACTCAACGTCTCTCTAAGTTACAAACGCCGTCTGTCTATTCCTGAGAGGGTGATGCCACAGTAAAGCAGGGAAGAGCACGTGGTGCTGGGCTAACTAGATATTTCCTGTATGGAGAACGAGAACACACCCCCACACCCACACATGCACGAACGCACCCCAGAGTCGATAATACGACCTTTGGAATAAAATACAGGACAGGCTGGGGATGTGGCTCAGGAGGGTAGGGCCCTGGGTTCACTGCATAGAAACTCAGTGTGGTGCTGCAGGTGTGTGCGCCTGTAATCCAAGCACTTGGAGGTAGAGACAGGAGGATCTGAAATTCAGTTATCCTCAGCTACATTGTTTTAAACTTAAAAAAAAAAAAGGTCTGGGGTGTAGATAAATGGTCTTGTTAAATAAGAAACACAGAGCCAGTACAGAGATGAAAGCCCAAGAGGTCAGAGCTAAACACCTTACCCTTCACTGTTGCTGTTGTCCTCTTCAGCAAGAGACCTACTTCCTGTCAGTTTGTCTTTTTTATAGACTTTCTATTCTGCCTTCTCATTGGTTGTAAACCCAACCACATGACCTCCTCATCACTGCCTGTCTGTACAGACCTCCAGGTCTTCTATGGTTGGTATTGAGATTAAAGGCGTATGTCTCCATGCTGGCTGTATCCTTGAACACACAGAGATCTACCTAGCTCTGCCTACCAAGTGCTGGGATTAAAGGCGGCTGCCACTACCACCACCACCACCACCACCACCACCACCACCACCACCACCACCACCCAGTTTCTGCTATGGCTTGCTATTAGCTCTGACCCCCAGGCAACTTTATTTATTAACATATAAATAAAATCACATTTCAGTACAATTAAAATATCACCATACCGGGAAGATGGCTCAGTGGATAAAATGTATTTGTGATGCAAGCATGTGGTCCTGAGTTCAGATCCGAAGTGCCAGTATAAAAAGCTGGGCATGGCTGCTCACCCTTGTAATGTCAGCACTGGAGGAAGACGGAGACAACAGGGTCTCCTGGGCTTATGGGCCACCAGCACAGCCAAAAGAATGATGAGCTCTAGACTCAGTGAGCTCCTGCCTCAAAGGAAGAGGACAGAGAGCATCACCAGCCTCTGGCCTCCATGATACCTTCGTGAGTGAGCAGCTTGTGCACAGGTGTGTATGTACACGGAAACAGAGAGAAATGAGAAAGAAGTCTTCACTGTATCGGGGGTCAGTCTCAACTTTTATAATAATCCACGAAGACGTCAGACTTTTGTTTCCAGAATCAACATATAAAAGAAAATTTTGGCCGTAACTAAGTGGGATGACGACAATGATGATTTTATCTGAAGCACGGTCTTCCTCTGCACCCCAGCTTGGCCTCAGCTTGTGGCAGTCCTTCTCCCATTGACTCCTGAATGCTGGGATGACAGGTGCTTCCCATCATGCCCAGGTAGATTTCGTTTATCTAATGTAAGGTTGGTTTAGCATATGAAGTCGGTCATCAGCGAAATGCCTCAGAAGGTTTTCCTCTGCAAGTTGTCCTTTGCCCTCAACAGGCTCACCACTAAGTCTTAATGTCAACTTGATTGCATTTAACTTGATTGCATTTAGAGTTTTTTTAATTTAATTTAATTTTATTTTACAATACAATTCAGTTCTACATATCAGCCACGGATTCCCTTGTTCTCCCCCCTCCCGCTCGTTTTTTTTTTTTTTTAAGATTTATTTATTATGTATACAGCATGTATGACTGCAGGCCAGAAGAGGGCACCAGATCTCATTACAGATGGTTGTGAGTCACCATGTGGATGCTGGGAATTGAACCCAGGACCTCTGGAAGAGCAGTCGGTGCTCTTAACCTCTGAGCCATCTCTCCAGCCCAAGACACTTTGTTTTTAAAGGCAAACCACAGGATGGCAGATGACTTTTTTTTTTTCTGTAAAACTCTTTCAAATCAACATTGAAGAGGAAGAACTGAATAAAAGAAGGTTTGAATTTACAATCATAGTCAAGTGGTGTAGCTAAAGTTTTCCTGCCTGGCCCAGGGTCAGGGCAAATCTCTCTCACCTGCCAGTCCCACAGCCGCTCAGACTCGACCAAGTAAACACAGAGACTTATATTGGTTACAAACTGTATGGCCGTGGCAGGCTTCTTGCTAACTGTTCTTACAGTTTAAATTAATCCATTTCCATTAATCTATACCTTGCCACATGGCTCGTGGCTTACCGGCATCTTCACATGCTGTTTGTCATTGTGGCGGCTGGCAGCGTCTCTCTGACTCAGCCTTCCACTTCCCAGCTTTATTCTCCTCCTTGTCCCGCCTACACTTCCTGCCTAGCCAATGGCCAATCAGTGTTTTATTTATTGACTAATCAGCAACACATTTGCCATACAGAACATCCCACAGCAAAGTAGCCTTAAACAAATCAGGGAATGCCCCATTAGTTATCAGGGATACAAATTAAAGCCCCAGTGAGAGCTCACTGCACACACAGCAGATGACTGAAAACTCCAGAGTCTCAAAACAGCCTGCTGGGAAGGCTTCAGAGGAACCAGAATTATTTAACTTAATTTTGTTATTATTTAGTATTGTTGACACAGAATCTTGTGTATCTTAGGCTGGCCCCAAACTTGCTATTGAAGATGAACTTCTCAAGCACCTGCCACTACCTCCAAAATGCTGGGATTACAGGTTGCACCACTACACCAGGTTTCGTACCATGCTGGGGGATAAAACCCTAGACTTCACATATACTTGGCAAGCACTCTGCCTAGTAAGCTACATCCCCAGCCAACAACTTGAGATCCTCCTGCCTCGGCTTCCCAAGTGCTGGAATTACAGGTATGTACTACATGTCAAGTTCACATGGGAACCGGAGAAGGTCAAAGGCACTGTTGTGTCCACATGGTCAGTGGTGTGTCTGGTACATGATGCGGACATAGTTTACAGTAAACATCACCGCTGGTGACTAGAAGTTCATACTGATATGTCCTACAACCCCAGTGGTTCCAGGTCCTTGACTACTCAGAGCCTTTGGTGTTTAGCTTCAGGTGACAAAAATTCATATTCTCACACTTGAACAACTCAGCAAGTTTCCTAACTCTTGAAAGGTCTGGTGGTGGCCACTTATTCTTTCCCAGAGCTCACTATGTAGCCCAGGCTAGCCTCAAACTTGTGATGAACCTACTGTATCAGACTCCTAGTTCTGGAACTATACGCATGAGACACCACACCTAGTTTGAAAGGGAGTTTTTAGAAAAGGCGTTTGTTAACACTGCACATAATAGAAATGAACAACACATGCTTGGTTTAAACCTCTTTATTTGAAAACTTAGGCATTTACTGTAGCTAGAGTTTTCCTGCCTGGCCCACAGCCAGGACAAATCTCTCTCACCTGCCAGTCCCACAGCCGCTCAAACCCGACCAAGTAAACACAGAGACTTATATTGGTTACAAACTGTATGGCCGTGGCAGGCTTCTTGCTAACTGTTCTTACAGTTTAAATTAATCCATTTCCATTAATCTATACCTTGCCACATGGCTCGTGGCTTACCGGCATCTTCACATGCTGTTTCTCATCGTGGTAGCTGGCAGTGTCTCTCCAACTCAGCCTTCCACTTCCCAGCTTTATTCTCCTCCTTGTCCCACCTACACTTCCTGCCTAGCCAATGGCCAATCAGTGTTTTATTTATTGACTAATCAGCAACACATTTGCCATACAGAACATCCCACAGCACATTTCAGTACAAGTAAAATACCACCACAATTTACTATCTTTCATCGATTCCATGGCCACTTGAAGGAGAACCCACCTAGGTGAGAGAGGTACCTCTCAGAACAGGAAACAAATGGGACGGTACCATCCCCAGCTGAAATCAGGGGCCCTGTCTTCCTGAGCTGAGGAGCCACTATGGGAGCCTTACTGGGTTATCTTCATTATTAAAAAGCAAAACCATAAATTGCCTCACTTGCTCCCACCCTCCACATTCTGTCCACCTCTTTCCTCCTTCCTTCCCAAGCATAACTTAGCAAAGAGCTTCCTGTGGGCGGGAGTGGTTAGTTTTCAGGCTGGACATTCAGGTTGATTTTTTCCCCCCCAAGTACCGGGGATGGAGGGAAGGGCCTGGAGGAGCTGTGTCTCCAACAGCATAAAGGTTTTGTTTTGTTTTTTAAAGCAGAAAATGGACAGAGAAGCATTATATGCTAGTGCTTGCACCAGGCCTAAGCAGGAAGCAGGTGAAGCGGGACCCTCAGAGCCCGGGTAAGTTAGAGAGGGTTCATGAGAGCCCACAAGAGCCCACCAGAGTGGCTTTGTCCACACTTTCAGCTTGGAAGCCAGATCCCTGTCCTCCACACAGGACATGGACAAGACTGCTCTGCTCTCTCCATCCGTTCCCGGAGGAGCTGACATCTTTGGGGGCGGGTGGGAAGAAGACAGAATGGGGAGAAGGCTCCTGTCAAGGTTAAACCTAGCTTACCTTGAGCCCCGTCTCTACCGCACCAGCCATGTGACTCTGGCAGGTTCTTATGCTTTGTGAATTGGAAATTCTCATCTGAGAGTGGAAAAAACGATGATCTCCTATGCTCATGGAGGGAATGGAATTCTGTGAGATAACTCAGTGGATGCCCTCACAGTGCCTGGGGCTTGATGGGTATTTAGATGCAGAAGGATAGAAAGATGGCTGGCTGAGGAGTGATGGGAATTTCTTAGTATTTTTCTACAGCTATACTCCAAGGAAGCTTGTTTGTTTGTTTGTTTGTTTGTTTGAGAGATGATTTCTTGCAGCCCTGGGCGAGCCACATTTTTCTGTGTAGCCAAGGATGACCTTAAACTCTTTTTTTTTTTTTTTTTTTTGGTTTTTCGAGACAAGGTTTCTCTGTGTAAGCTTTGCGCCTTTCCTGGAGCTCACTCTGTAGCCCAGGCTGGCCTCGAACTCATGGAGATCCGCCTGCCTCTGCCTCCCGAGTGCTGGGATTAAAGGCGTGCGCCACCACCGCCCGGCTGACCTTAAACTCTTGATCGGAGCTCCTATGTCTCTATCTCACTTCAAATGCTGGGATTATAATTGGGAGTCACCATGCCAGGCCTGAATCACTTAAATATTTTTAACCAGGTATGGTTGGTGCATACCTTTAATCCCAGCACTTAGGAGGCAGAGACAGGAGGATCTCTGTGGATTCAAGTCCAGCCTGCTCTACATAATGAGTTCCAGGCCAGTCAGAGCTATGTAGAGAGACCCTGTCTCAAAAAAACTTTTGTGTGTGTTACGTGTGTGACATACGCTCCCCTGTGAGCATACCTGGACCAGAGAAGGACATCGAGTGGCCCGCTCTATTGTCCTCTGTCTTACTCCTTTGCCACAGACTTTTTCACTGATCCTGAAGCCAGGCTGGCAGTGAGCAAGCCACAATGATTCCTCCATCTCTACCTCTTCCCAGGGCTGGGGTTAGAGGTGTGTCTCACCACAGGTAGCTTTTTAGGTGAGTTCTGGGGCTTTGAACTCAGGTTGTACAGCAAGCCCTCTTAGCCACTCAGCCGTCTTCCTAGATCCCCCAGGAACCTTTTCTTTTCAAATTTGTTTGACTTATATTTAATTTGTTTATTGTGTTTGTGGTGCACCACAACACACATGTAGACACGAGAGGGTAGGTTACAGGAACCTGCTCTCTTCTCCGCCGTGTGGGTCCTGAGGATCGAACTTAGGTTGTCAGACTTGGTTACATGTACCCACTGAGTCATTGCATGAGCCCCGGAATCACCTTTTCAAGGTCAGTAAGATAGTACAGCTTGGATGTAAATCTTAATTCCAAATGTCTGTCCCTGCTAGTGGACCGTCTTCCGGCCCAGGGCTCAGAGGTCAGCTGGCACAGAGGATCGGTTGTCTCTGGGTGCGTTCACTGTCTCTGCAAGGTGACCAGGAAGGACACAGGAAATGCAGAGTTTAATGGGCCTCAAAAGACTTGTCCCAGAGGCAAGGGGACTCTCAAGGGAGCTTAGCATCCAAATAAAAGGGAGTCAGAAAATGAGGAGTGGGGGTAGTCCACCTGGGGCAGAAGGAAGGGTCTCTTGAGCAGCTACCACACAACCCAAGCATGGGCACCATAACAATGTCTCACCCTAGAGCTAGCCTCTGCTCCTCACCCTAGAGCTAGCCTCTGCTCCTCGCCCTAGAGATAGCCTCTGCTCCTCACCCTCGAGCTAGCCTCTGCTCCTCACCCTAGAGATAGCCTCTGCTCCTCACCCTAGAGCTAGCCTCTGCTCTTCACCCTAGAGCTAGCCTCTGCTCCTCACCCTAGAGCTAGCCTCTGCTCCTCACCCTAGAGATAGCCTCTGCTCCTCACCCTAGAGCTAGCCTCTGCTCCTCACCCTAGAGATAGCCTCTGCTCCTTGGGACATCTTCTCCTGACTACTAATGAAGTAGAATTTTTTGGAGAACACTGTTTATTCTGTATTTTTTTTTTAGTTAAATATCTCCATGTGCAACCAAAGCTGGCCTTGTAATCACAATGTTCCTGCCTCTACTGAGTGCTGAGATGACAGGCATGTGCCACCAAGTCCAGACTCTTGTACCCTTTGTCCCTTAAGGGGGAAAAGCGATCTAACCAGCCATCATGAGCTGGCTAGTGGTCATCTAGTCCTGGAATAGGTTAGTCATTACCAAGTTGGTTTTGTGCTTAGTTAGTCCAAGTTAGTTTCCTTGCATCTGATATGGGATTGAGGATCTGTTCTGCAAAGTTGTGGACATGACGCTTAAGGTAGACCCTGGGTGACGTTATCATTAGCACTCCCTGACCCCTGACCAGAACACTCGGATGTCTGTCTGTCTGTCTGTCTGTCTGTCTGTCTAGCTGTAGCATTCATGGAGCAAGAACCACACTCACACCAGTATCCCCGGCAGAATGCTTCTCATCAGGTGACAAAAGAATGTCCTTAGCTCTTTGGTGTAGTGGCAGCAGGGATACGGACACAGCTGGGGAGGCCAGAGCAGAACATAGTTAAGGATGGCTTCAAGCTGCAGGGGCTATATGAAAGGTGCCTCAGTTTACCCAACCAGAAAGAACTCAGTGAAGCTGCCAGAAGAGTGTGTTTCTGGGTCATAAAAGCTCTTTGCAGAGGCAGGGATGGCGCGGAGCAGGGTCACCGAGTCTCCACTTGGTTGTCTGCAGGGTTGAAGGTCACAGTCACAGGCTGCTGGCCACCATTGCTGTTTGGGTCCAGGGCAGGAGGGACAGGTGGCTTCGGGCTCTTGGGCTCCAGCTCCCGCCTGGTCCTCATTCTCCTGTAAGAGACAGTGAGGAATGGGCTCCATGATGATGGCCCATCAGAAAGGCACATTGTTACCACTGTTCCAATAGGGAAGGACCTTTGATACCAGCCTGGCTCACTTCAGAATGTTCTGTTTAACTTTGAACTGCTAAAGTTCATTCTGCCCCTGACAATGAACAGAGTCAGAGCAGTGGCCGAGTTCAAGACTGAGTGGAGCCTCAAGGGTTGTAGCATGATTATGCATGCTAAGAATTTTGCTAAGAATATTTAAGAACATCTTATGTAATTGAGAAGAGAACAGACTTAAGGTGTCTACAACCCCAGAACTTTTGAGACTGAAGCAGGAACACCAAGAGTTTAAGGCTAGCCTGGGCTACATAGGAAGACCCTGTCTCAAACAATCTAGTAAAATGTACATCCTATCTTCATTTTATATACCATTAGATTCAAGAGCTCACAATAATGACTTCCGATGTCTGTGATATCTCATCCATCGATAGATCCTAGTTCCTTAATTTTTCCTCATTTCCAGCTCAGGCATCAGTGTAAGCAGTGTGAGGTGAAGGGGTACCCACCCACATGTCAATCAAAGCTTCAGCAATGATGGACGGAATGACAGGAGACCTGGAATTCAATGCCACCTCCTTGTTTCCAAGAGGCTCACATGGTAATACTCCAGAGACTTTAAAAATAGCACTGGATGCTACTATTGTTGCTGTTGCTTTGAAACGGGGTTTTATATAGTCCAGGCTGGCCTTGAACTCATCATGTAGCTGAGGGTAACTTTGTACTTCTGATCCTTCTGCCGTTACCTCTTGAGTGCCACCATACTTATTTATGCAGTGCTGGGGATCAAACCCAGGCCTTCATGTACGCTAGGCAAGTGCTCTACCCACTGGACCACATCCCCTGTTATTATTACATGTTATGGTGGGAAATTTTTCCTTTGAAACCAGATGGGTTGGGTTTGAACCTCAGCTCTGACAAAGAGGGCAGAGCCACCCTGGACAGGTTAGCTAACACTCTGCACCAGGAATGGGCGAGGAGCGTGCAGGAAGGAAGCAGGCAGTTTGGGGCATCCTGTACCTGTTGTACATCTTCAACAGGATCAGAACCAAGGTGACGATGATGATGACCACCACCACGATGGCAGCCACGATGGCTCCAGAACCTGCAGAGAAGCGGGAGCTGAGAGTGGGTAGCAGCACTTGGCAAACAAAGATGAGTTCCCAGAAACCACATGAGTCTGTGTGCATGATGATCCCAGGGCTTCTACGGCCTCAGGGGCAGAGACAGGAGGATCCCCAGAAGCTTGCAGGCCCCTAGCCTGGTGTGTACTGATGCATGATGGGAGAAAACAACAAAGAGACTCTGTTGCAGGCCAGGTAGAAAGGCAGGACGGATGCTGAGGGTTTCTTCTGACCCCCATGTATGTGTCATGGCACTCTCATGCCAACATGAACACACAAGAGCAAACAAACACAAACACACACACACACACACACACACACACACACACACACACACACACACACTAAAGTGAATGAATTTAAATACAAAGTAAGAGCCAGCAGAGATGGTGAAGCCTTGAGCGGACATGCAGACTGGGAGGGCCCCCAGTGGGCACTTGTCATTAACGATTTGGATATAAAGTGTCCCCCCAAATCTCACATACTAATGGTTTGGTCCCCAGCTGATGGGCTGAATTACTGATCATTGACTGTAACACGAGGACCTCAAACTAATCAGTAGATTAAACCACTGGATTTGTACTTTGATGGCATTATTGAGACAGAAACTATATGAGGGAGGGGCCTGGCGGAAGGAAGTAGGTCACTACGGGTCTTTGACGGTCATCTTGCCATGCTCCCGTTCTCTTTCTCTGCCTCCCAGCCGTCAAGAGTGGGCAGCTCACCCTGTCCTCTCTGCCTGACACTCTCTCGGCTCGGGCCCACTGCGGTGGGGCCAAACTGCCAGGACTGAGACCTGAGCCCACGCAAACCTTTTCCCCCTTTAAGCTGCTTTGTTTTCAGATGCTCTGGAACAGCAACAAGGAACCGAGTCCCACGTAGCCCAGGATGGCCTTGAACTCCCGAGTCTCCTCCTCTGTCTCTCAAGGGTTGGAACTGCAGGGGTATGGCACACGACGCCTGCCTGAGTCCTCTTATCAGTCCAGGCACAGCTCTCAACTTCTGTGCAAGAGATCAGCAAGACTCCTTCCCTGCTTTTGATAACATGCAATTGATGTGATTTTGGGATAATTTTTAAAATATAAAAATAAGCAAAACGTGAGAAAGGACGAGTCACTGGTCATCTGCACCTATGCATTCATCTGTGCAGCCACAGATGTGCATATTAAAGCCTGTTCAGGCCAGGAAGTGGTGGCGCATGCCTTTAATCCCAGCACTCGGGAGGCAGAGGCAGGAGAATCTCTGTGAGTTCGAGGCCATCCTGGTCTACAGAGCAAGTTCCAGGAAAGGCTCCAAAAGCTAAACTCCGTCTCAAAAAACCAAAAAAAAAAAAAAAAAAAAAAAAAAAAAAGCCTGTTCAGATTTTAGGAATAGGGGCTGGAGAGAGAGAAGGCCCAACAGTTAACAGCACTGGCTGCTCTTGCACATAACCCAAGGTCAGTTCCCCACACAATGGCTTACAAACTCCAGTACCTGGAGGACCTGATGCCCTCTTCTGGCATTCTTGGGCACTGCACACTCATGGTGCACAGACACACACACATACACACACACACACACACACACACACACACACACACACACACACGTGCGTGCAGGCAAAATACTCATACACATAAAATAAGAACAAATAAATCTTTAAAAACATCAGTTCTATGTCTGAAACAGATATCCTAAGGAAATATTCCTACATATGGAAATACAGGCAATTGTTAAAAAGACACCTACATAGAATTGCATCACTCAAGGTAGAGGCAGAAGGATCAGGAGTTCAAGGTCATCTTCAACTACATAGAAAGTTGAAGGCCAGTCTAAACTACATCTCCCCTGTCTCAAAAACGGATTGAACAAAACAAGAGTGCTGGAGAGATGGCTCAGCCAGCTAAGAGTGCACACTCTTCCTGCAAAGGACCCAGTTTTGGTTTTTGGTTCTCAGTGCCCACATCACATGGCCCACAACCACCTGCAACTCCAGTTCCAGAGGCTCTGGTACACAAACATGCATACCCTCTACACACACCAATCTTTAAAAAAAAAAAACCAGCCAGATTGCATACGTTATCTTACGGTATTATCAAGATTATCTCTCCATGCTTTTACCTATTCTCATGGTTTTGATGGTTGAACACTACTCGTGTTTGGCTACACCATGATTTGTTCACCAAGTCCCTGGTGAGATTGTTTATGCTTTCAATCTTTTGCTCTTTTTTTTTTTGGTTTTTCGAGACAGGGTTTCTCTGTGTAGCTTTGCGCCTTTCCTGGGACTCACTTGGTAGTCCAGGCTGGCCTTGAACTCACAGAGATCTGCCTGGCTCTGCCTCCCGAGTGCTGGGATTAAAGGCGTGCGCCACCACCGCCCGGCTCAATCTTTTGCTCTTATAAACAAAGCTAGTACACAAGTCCTGCAGCTCACTATGTCAGAGTCTAATTTCAGTACACTGTCAATGGCAAATTCTAACTTCAGGACTGAGAACAAGATCCTGTCAGAGTTTTGAAAACCTCACGAACCATAAATATGTCCGTGCTTGATGCCAATTTATCACTTCAGAGGGAATTTCATATTTAGGGAATAATCAATTCCCAATGTTGGAAGGCTGTTTGAATGAGAATGTCTGTTTACAGGATTATTGACACACTCAGTGATTTAATAAGGTAAGGTAGACTAGTCTATAAAATACTATGAAATGCTTTCAGTGATGCTTTTTGAAACTGTGGACGACATAGGAAGACTTAAGACCATCTCAGGTCTGGAGACTAGAATAAGACACTGTGCAACACTAGCTTACGTGCGTGGAAACCCAAGGTTCAGCTAAAGAAGCCAGACGGGGACCAGGGAGATGGCTCAGTCGTTAAAAGCACGGGCTGCTCTGGCAGAGGACCCAGGTTCCATTCCCAGAATTCATAGCATCTGTAATTCCAGTCCTTGGGTTTCTAACACCCTCTTCTGGCCTCCACGGGAACTACACACACAGTGCACTTACCCACATGCAGGCAAACACTGATACATGTAAAAAAAAAAAAATCAGATAAAAAAGCCAGACAAAAAAGAATACATTTGGCTGGCTCTCTTTCCATTCACACAAAATTCAAAACTATATAGAACTAATCAGTATGTCAGTATTGGGTGGGCTCTTAGGGTACAGGACCATGGAGTCATTGATATTCTCTGTTTCCTGAGTGCTGGTGACACACGTGTACATTTTGTGAAAAGTTACCCAATGTTACACTTACGATTTGTGCACTTTTTAATGCCTTTACAAAGATTTGATAATATAAAGAATAAATGGCACAGGCCTGTATCCCCAGCTACTCGGGAGGATGCATCAGGAGGATTGCAAGTTCCAGCCTAGCCCGGGCTACCTATGGAGACCTTGTCTCAAACACAGAATCATTCCCATCTGGCTTTAGGTCATTCCCCTCCTGTGGCTCCCTTCAGGACCATTTGAGACATATTGAGCTGTTTCTAAATGAACACCTATCCTAGCAAGGATCAGAACAAAGGGGCGTGTGTGGGCAAGGGGAACTGGTGACCCTGTCCTGAAACCACCGCCTCTGGGTCTCTATGGAAGGGATACATCCTACCTTCCATCTAGTCATCTGCAGACTCCAAAGCCTGGAGTTGCCCCCCGTACCAGTGTAGAAACTGTACCTACTCCTGGGGACACCTGAACCATATGCAGAGTGGACAAGACATCGGCTGAAACCACTGTAAGGGACCCACACTCATTACACAACTATTGTGTCTGCTTTTCATATATATATATATATATATATATATATATATATATATATATATATATATTTTGGTTTTTCGAGACAGGGTTTCTCTGTGTAGCTTTGCGCCTTTCCTGGAACTCGCTTTGGAAACCAGACTGGCCTCGAACTCACAGAGATCCGCCTGCCTCTGCCTCCCGAGTGCTGGGATTAAAGGCATGGGCCACCACCGCCCGGCTTGCTTTTCATATTTTACAGGATATGCTGGTTAGTTTGTGTCAACCTGACACAAACAGATTGGCCTGTGGACCTGGATCTGCAGGGCATTTTCTCAGTTCATGACTGATGCGGGAGGTCCTGGGTTGTATCAGAAACCAGGCTGAGAAAGCCATGGGAGAAAGTCAGTACGCAGTACTCCTCCACAGTTTCTGCTTCAGTTCCTGCCTCCAGGTTCCCGCCTTGGGTTTCCCTGATGATGGGCTGTAAGCTGTAAGCTAAAACAAACCCTTTCCTCACCAAGTTGCTTTAGTCACGGACATACAGCCGTGGAAAAGCAATCTAGTGTACAGTCTCAGACAGCCCAAGCTGGCCTCAAACATTGTTATTCGCTGAGGATAACCTCGAACTCCCGATCTTCCTGCTTCCACAGCCCCGGTGATGGGATCATGTCTGTGCGACACCACACCCAGTTTATCCAGTGCTGGGAATCAAACCCAGGGCTTCATGCCTGCTAGGTAAGCCCTCTACCAACTGAGCTACATACTGGGCCTGATTTTCTGAAGAGCTGTCATCCACTTTTCTTACCCTGAGAACCCCTGGTTCTTGGTAAACACTTCCCAGGACTGACCTGTTCCCACCTTCATTCATTGATTCTGTGAGTTTGAGGCCAGACTGGTCTACAGAGTGAGTTCCAAAACAGCCAGGACTGTTATATAGAGAAACCCTGTCTCAGAAAACAAACAAACAAACAAAAAGTAGTATGTGATAGATGCTCTTTAATGCTTTTGTTATGGTAGCCAAAGCAGGGTCTCACTCTGTAGTTCTGGCTGGCCTTTGAGTTCACAGAGATTCTCCTGCTTCTCCCTGGTGCTGGAATTAAAGGTGTGCTCTACCACACGGAGTAAGTAGTTACTTTTCAAAGGGACCTATTTCAATATCTTGAAAGAGATTCACACTTCCATCACGCCCTAGACTCCAGGATTTGCTGGAGAGGAGTCGGGAGAAGGAGCAGAGGTCCGAGGTCACAATGCTTGTCACAGTGTTTGTCGGGTACACAACGCACATCTACTGGAGCCAGGACTTCCAGGACTCGTTTGAGTCTTCACAACAGCCTCCTGTGGGATCCCCATTGATAGTCCCCATCTTACAGGCGAGGAAACTGAGGCCCAGGGCAAAGAAATCATGCCTGAGGTTGGCAAGTGATGGGACCAGGAAGCTGACCCTGAGGCTGGCCCTGGCAACCTTCCCCCAAGTCCACCTTACTCTTATACAGGAAGTCTTCTCCTCTGGTCATGTTCAGCGAGAAGACAGCGTCCCCCAAAGTGGTGGCTGTGGTCATCTTGATCCTGCTGAGAACAAAGAAGAAATTTTGCTTAAAACCAGGGTTAGTCTCACCACGTCTATATGATGCCTCTTTTGCTCTTTGCCTGGATGATTCTAGAATCCTCAAGCATGCAGTTTCTTTTGGCAGCAAGTAAAAATAAGGCTCATTCCTAGAAACTGTGTGTATGTAAAAATAGTACCCCAGAATTGTAAGGAATTAACTTACTTCCCTCTTCCTCCCTCCCTCCCTCCCTCCCTCCCTCCCTTCTTCCCTTCCTTCTGACAGGGTCTCATATAGCCCAGGCAGACCCCTAACTCCATATATAGCTGAGGATGACCTTGAACTCCATCTCCCTAGTGCCAGGATCATAGGTATGCTCTACCATGCTCAGCAAAGAACTTAGAATGTGGTTTTTCTCCTTAAATTATTTTTTATTTATTTATTTATTTATTTATTTAGTTTTTCAAGACAGGGTTTCTCTGTGTAGTTTTGGTGCCTGTCCTGGATCTTGCTCTGTAGACCAGGCTGGCCCCGAACTCACAGAGATCCACCTAGCTCTGCCTCCCAAGTGCTGGGATCAAAGGCGTGCACCACCACGGTCCAGCTAAATTATTTTTATTTATTTAGATTTATTTTCTTTTATGGATATGAGTACCTTTGCCTCATGTATGTACATCACACGCATGCCTGGTGCAGATGGCCGTCAGAAGAGGGTGACAGACCTCCTGGAACTGGCATTACAGATGGCTGTGAGCCACCATGTGGGTGCTGGGAACAGAACCAGGTTTTCTTGAAGAACAGCCGGTGCTCTTAACCACTGGGCCATCTCTCCAGACCCAGATCTTGTTTTCCCGAAGCAGTTCTGTACTGATACCAGTGCAAACTCTGCTGGGCTGCTGAGACATGAGCCCGACATCTTCTCACATAGCCAGCCCTGTGCTGGCTGTCTCGTGCTGGCTGTCTCAGGCGTCAGCCTCCCACTCTCTACTGTAAGCCTCCCCAAGAACTCCCGGCTCCACTCTCCCAGCTCTAATGGAAACATGGGTGGGTGTCTGCCTGAGACAAGAGGGAGGCCATCTGTCCTCAGCTGGAGGCTCTGTCAGCTACAGCCATAAGAAGGCCATGTTCATCTACAGGACAGGCTCTGCCTTCACATCCTCTGCCCCACTCCAGGTTCAGGGTCCTGCCTGTCGCCCTGGTTCTTGTGATCTTCAGGGCCTCCCATGGCTCGGTGCCCACTCCGTGAAACCTACAGGGCTCTGCCTGACCTCGCTTGTATAATCAGTCTTCTGCTCTGGGCTTCTGGTCACCTGATTCCCTTAGACAGGCTGAGGTGAGCCACATGCTCCCCAGCCTCAAGCCAGACACCCTTGCCAGATGACTCCCATCCAGACAGAGTTAAGGAGGTTGTTTTCTTCCTCCTCACTGCCACCATTAGCCAGAAAGCACAGCTAGTGTCTGTGGCTTGGCTTTGCACGCTCCCTGGCAGCCCTTGAAGATACAGCCATGTCTGGTTCTCTTTCAGATCTGTCCACCTCCCCCAGACAAACCATTATCTCCCCCTTGCCAGCGGGAGGGCTGTGGTAAGGGACAGAATTCCTCTCAGCTTTCCCTCGTCCTAAGGGAGCTGAGGGCTGGGGGTGTGAATAGTACTTTTTGTTTTTTGAGATGGTGTCTCATGTATTCCAGGTTGACCTCCAACTCACAATGTAGCTAAGGATGAGCATGATCTAACTCTCCTGCCCGCATGTCTCCAGTGCTGGATTATAGGTGTGTTCCCTCACACCTGGTTTATGTGGTGCTGAGGACTGAACACAGGGCTTCATGCTTGCTAGGGAAGCACTCTGCCGACTGAGTGACATTTCAAGTCTAGAAAGGGCTATTCAGAGTTCAGTGACTGTAATCATAGTGCCAGAGAGATGCCTGCAGGAGGACCACGATTTCGAGGGCAGCCTCGGCTACAAAGGGAGTTGAAGCTAGCCCAGGATAAGTGAGATACTATGTTATTAAAAAACAAAAAAAGCCAAGGATGAGAACTTGGGATGGAGGACTCCCTGTCTCCCTCTTTGTTCTTGAGGAAAGACCCTCGCCTTTCCCATCACAGCAAGGCAGAGGTACTCAGATGCATTTGCCTAAGCCTGTTTCTAGCCCCACCGCTTCCAACTCAGGATGCCACAGGAAACAGGGTTTCCCTTTCCACGGCTTCCAACCAGGACCCTGAGGCTCAGGGCTGTGGAGTCCACTCTCCTGTTCATTTAGCCCCAAAGTTGTAGAGCAGCAGCGCATGAACCTGACCTTGCCAACTGCAAAGCCTGGATTCTTCCCACCTTCCCACCTGCCCTCAGATGCACCTGGTAGGGGCTGCAACCAGTCACCGCAATAATACACAGATGCACACACACACACATACATACACACACAAACCCACGCACACCCTTATACCGGCTCACACCCACTCCCGCGTATTCCCATATACACACTCATACATATGCACTATGCACACATAAACACATACACACACATATACACATACCCTCATGCCCATTCACAGCCAGTCACAAATTCAAACATACATACACACATAAACACATATATACACACACATACACATGTGCACATGCACACACACATGTACACACACACACACACACACACACACACACACACACACACACACACTGACCAGTGAGCAGCCTCCCAAGGACACAGGACACAGGCTCCTCCTCAGGTCCGTCTGGGTTCACCTCCTGGGTGCTGGGTTCCAGGTGCCAGCGGGCCAGTTACTTCTCTTTCAAGAACAGTGTGCAATCCCAGAGCCGATCTCGCCTCATCCCGGCAGCGAGGGCTCTCAATGACATCTCTGTTCCTGCCACATTACAGAAGGTGGGAGGGGGGCGGTGAACACTGATGGCCAAGGATGTGGATGTTTTCATGTGTGGGGGCCCCAGCAACTGCAGTTAACCAAGTCAGGCCCAAGACGGGGGACTGAGCCCTGTGCGTGCCTGTGGCCGTGGGATGTCGGGACACTCTAGGGAAGGCAAGGCTGTTTCTCAGAGAGTGAGACCAATTCACAACTGCAGTGTGAGCATGGCCCTCGTGCTTCACAGGCAAGATCCCATTCCATCCTCATCTTCCTTTTGGAAAGGAATATGTGGCCACTGTGCCCGCTGAACCGATAAGGCACCAGAAGCCCAGAGCAGACAGGAGCCCCACCTAATGTAGGTGCTAACCAAAGCTACACTAGGCTGTGGGTGGGGGTCTGGGACTACACAGCCCCATCTCCATGAACTCGCCTGACACTGCTTCCCAGAGAGCACACAGAAGAGATGGCCTGCAGCAGTGTTGGGCTAAGGAAGGTTCCGCCCACAGAGCAGAGAACTTGCCCTGAGCTTTGACCCCGCCTCCCACTGTGCGACACTGCCCGGGCCACACTGGGGACCTCTACCTCAGCCCAGCTTTAGGCACACTCACAGACTCCACAAGGGACTATTGCCCCCTCCCTTCGTTAACAAACAGTCCTGTGTGGGAGCTGTGCTGGGAAGTGTGGAGGGTCAGGACTGTTTACTCATCCCTCTCCCTGGGGTGGAAGAGCTGTTATCAGGAAGAATGCTGCCCCCCACCAACTCCTCAAGACAACATCTCCCCTCTTTCTCTGTGCTTCCAAGCCCCTCCCTGGATAAGACAAGAAAAACAAATTCCCAGCAGAAAAAGCCACAAATAAGCAACTGCAGCCCAGAGTTACCGTAACCCATGAAAGCCATTCATCTATCATGGGGTTGGGACGGAGCCCCGCAGGGAATGTTCTTGCCTAACATGTATGGAGCAGCGTCGGGTTCAATCCCCAACACTGCATAAACTGTGTGCACACCTGGAAGATGGAGCAAGAGGATCCGAAATTAAAGATCACCGTTGGCTACACATCAGGTTTGAGTACGGCCTTGACTGCATGAGAACCCTCTCAAAAGAAAAAAATTTTAAAAATTAAAAAATGAAATAGGGGTTGGCAAGATGGCTCAGCAGGTAAAGGCACTTGCTGCCAAGCCTGATGATCTGAGTTCAATCCCTGGGACCCCCATGATAGGTGGAGAGAGGCAGCTTCTAGAAGTTGTCCCCTAACCTCTACACATACACCATCACGCACACACACAAAGTAAATGAGTCATTAAAAAATTAAATAAGATTAAAGAAAGCCCCGACGTTCCGAAACATTGGGGCTGATGCAAGCCGCAGACAACTGGCCCTCATGTCAGCACAGTGTGGTTTTCACCCACGGGCACTGTTTCCTTCTGTCTTTCCCACGTGACAACCCTGGTAGGTTTAAGAGCTCTGCTTTGTGTGAAAGATTGAACTACGAGGGCTCTGCTTTGTGTGAAAGATTGAACTACGAGGTCAGCGGATATCAGCGTGGTAATTCTACCTCTGTCCAGCAGGTGGCAATAGCAGTGAGCTGTAGGTTAGACTGTAGAACTAAGGATTATCTGTCTAAGGATTTTCTGCCCTGGAAAATAGCAATTCTGTGGTCTTCGACAATTTTCTTCTCTGGGTTAAATATCTTCCATTTCAACAATCCTTAAGGTGGGATAGAGGGAGTGGGCAATGTTCATAATATGCTGGTACTGAAGGTATGTTCCCTCACACTCACTCAGAACAGCATTTTTTAGTCTCAGATGGGTACCTGAATTCTGTCTTTATTCCCTGGACCTCCTCACCCAGTGTCTTTCACCTGTTGCTTTTTGGACTGTTACAATAGAGCTTTTCTGTAGCCTCGTTGTAGATGGGAAAATGTAGCGGGGTGTGGTGGCACACACACCCCAGAAACCCAGCACTCGGGAGGACCAGGAGTTTGAGGCCAGCCTAGCGTGCAGAAGTGGGGGCTGGGGTGTAGCTCAATTGGCAGAGTGCTTCCCTGGCATGCCCAAAGCCCTGGGTCGGACACCCCACACTGCAAAGCTGGTTACAGGCACACCTGTAACCCCAGCGCTCTGGGAGGCAGAAGTAGAGGCAGGGGAATCATCAGGAGACAGGTCACATGCCCAGGGTGAGATGTCTGCCTGAGAGGAAGGAAGAGGATTCCACTCTCTCTGGACTGGAAGTTGACTGACCTGCTGGACTTTGGTGGGTGTGCTACACTGGAAACCAAGCTCCCCTCAAAAGCCAACGGAGCAGAATCCCCTCCTACATCAACAGCCCCCCCAATGCCTCCTCATCCCCACACCCTCTGTGAGAACTCCAGGAGGCAGCTGCTAGTCTGAATACTGTGGAGCCCACTGCCGGCTCCTTTACAAACAGGGAAACTGAGGACCGAGAGAGCCTCAGGGCGCTCTCTGAGGAGAAGCTCATGGCTGTGTCTTTCTGATAGTGCAGGGCAGAGAACAACATGGCACAAAGTAGGCAGCTGGGGACCCACAGGTGACACCCCAGCCTGCATGCCCCCCCACCACCTCAGTTTCTCTTTAGTGCCCCGCTGCCACGATGGTACTGTTCCCTGTTCATAAAGCACCCAGGGTTCGGAGTCACTTCCAGTCACTCACTGAAAGCAAGATGCAGGCGGGATGGCTCCGCAGGCAAGAGCCTGAGAGCCCAAGTTCGAATCCCAGGGACTCATAGCGGAAAGAGAACTGACTCCCAGAAGCCTTCCTCTCTGTCTGCCAGTCAGTTGGTTGGTCTCTCTCTCTCTCTGTCTCACTCTTCTCTCTCACATGCACACACACATGCACATATGGTGGCACACATGTGCCCACATGTGCACACACATACATTATACATACACATAATAATAATGCCCCGCCCACAGGCACTTATGTGTTGGTGTGCATGGAAGACAGCTTAACCTTGGGTCTCATTCCTCAAGTGACATCCACCTATTTTACGAGACAGGGTCACTTGTTGGCCTGAAGTTCACATGTAGGCTAGAGTGGCTGGCCAATGAGCCCTAGGGGCCCTCTTGTCTCTGCCTGCATGGCTATGGGGTTATAATCATGCCCTATCATGCTCCCCGCTTTTTACGTGGGTGCGGGGTCAAACTCAGGTCCTCATGCTCGTGTGGCGAGCACTGTACTGACTGAGCCGTCTCTCTAGCCCCCCTTGATTGTTTTTAGGTTTATTTATTTTATTTTATGTGTGTGAGACTTTTGGCTGTATGCTGATGCACCACATGCTACCTGGTGCCCACAGAGGTCAGAAGCGGGCATCAGATCTCCTGGAATTGGAGTTGTGGATGGTTGTGAGCCACCACGTGGATGCTGTAACCAAACCCGGGTCCTCTGAAAGAGCAGCCAGTGCTCTTAACCACTGAGCCATCTCTCCAGCCTGTTTTTGTTTGGTTTAAGAAGCATGGCTTGCTGGGAGGGGTAGAGTACTATAATACCCCCAGTTACTCTAGAGGCTGAAGCAGGGTTGCTACAAGTTTGGGTCCACCCTGGTCTTAATGTGTAACCCAGGGTGGCTCTAAATTCCACCCGCTACGTCGGCTTCTCCAGCGCAGGGGTTTCGGACCTGTGCACTGTGTACGGTATGATCTGGATTTGGGGTTCTGCCTCCCCTGTCTTTCCTGAGGACATGGCAGGTTCTAAGTGCTTGCTGTGGGTGGCTTATGTCGAGAAAAGATCTCTGGACCAGTGGTTCTCAGCCTATGGGTCGTGACTCCTTTGTGGTTGAGTGACTTTTACAGGGGTCACATATCAGATATCCTGTCTATCAGATATTTACCTGATGATTCATAACAGCAAAATTACAGTTATGAAGTAGCAATTAAAATAATTTGATGGTTGGGGGTCACCACAGCACAAGGAACTGTATTAAAGGGTCGCAACGTTAGGAAGGTTGAGAACCACTGCTTTGGAGCATCTGTGTGGAAGGAGGGAGAGCCAGGGACCCAGTGCTCTATTATCTAGGTAGGCCACTCTTTCTGGGAGCCCACATGTCCCGATCTGTGGTCTCATGGCTGTGCCTGTTCATGGGGCCATGGTGGAGACCCCGGTAGTTGGATGGTTGGCCTGGGAGGGAGAAGTCCTGTATTAAAACCTTACCTTTGTTGCTCACTTGCTGTGGGACTGTGCCAAAGTCACTTGTTCTGTCTAGAGTGCAGTTTTCTCTCCAGGGGAACGGCCAGCCGGGACCCAGTGACCTTCTTCCTCTCAGTCTTCTACCTTAAGACTTCAGGCTTCCTGAGTGGTTCAGGACGTGGCCCCTCACCCTCCTCAAGCTGGCTGGCCTCCCACACCCTCCATTCCAGAAAGAGCACACCCCCTGTTTCCTGCCCGAGTCAGGACCTGGCAGGTCTGGGCTGCAGAGAGGACCAGAGAGAGGCCAATCCCAGCCTCTGAAGCTGCCCGCGGTGAGCGCTGGATGGCTGCCAGTCGCAATAGGCCTCAAGATACAGAGGGGCATTTGTCCGGGGACACACAGCCTCATGTAAACCTGCGCTCTGGCTCTGGCAAGCCACCTCCTTTTCTCCACACCCTCTTGGGCTGCGGCAGCAGCTCCTGCTTGGCTGTGAGGTGGGATAGGAATGCTGGGCAGAACCCTCTGTACAGCCGGGAGCCAGGCAAGAAAGGGGTGGGAAGAAAGGAGGGGCATCATTTGTGTAGGGTGCAGCAGTGAGGGTCACCGCAGGGGAGAAGCGGGGAACAGTGGAAGACAGGAAATGCCCTGGACATGGCCAGGGTTGGTCAAGAAGGCGAAGGACTGGTTCTAGACTTCCCCACTGGCTAGATAAGAGACTAAGGGCACAGAATCCCCTTCTCTTCCAGACTCAGTTTCCTTGGCTGTAAAATGGGGTGATTGTCTTAAGCTTGGCCTGAGAAGACCCCATTAAATAAAGTGATTTGTGAACACCCAGGGGGGTATAGTAAAGAT